ATGCAATTTCACGCAAAATGTTCACAGACCATTTAGCTATTATATTTCGCACGTGCGGTCTCGATGCAAACAGGTACAAAGGACATAGTTTTCACATCGGCGCGGCTACATTTGCTGCCGAATGCGGTTTTTCCGATGCCCAAATACGACTAATGGGCCGTTGGAAATCCGACGCTTTCCGCAAGTATATTCGTGCTCCTAGTTTGTGACTTAAATCAGACACTCCGACTATACAGGTCGGGCTTTTTGTAGGGATTGATTGTGGCTGCTTGTTGATAAACCCGTTTAGTAATTAGTACACTTTGTCAAGTCGACGCAAGGGCAAGACTTGATATAATATAGGAATGTGCGTGTTAAGATACTAGAAATGTACGTGTCATTTAATCACTGTTTTACGTTCTCTGTGAGGCTAACGCATGGGCAAGGCTTCTACACAACCGTTCGCTTTAGCAGGTTGGCCGTCCCCTGGCAGTTTAACGCATGGGCACAAACTGTCGGCGGTCGCTTATCATGTTTTTGCTTAATAATGACAGTAATAATCCACGCACTGATTTCGCTTTGGAGTTGTTTTTATAGGTTTTAACCTCACTATGTCTGCGGATACCTTGTAACGATTGGATGGGGTATGCCTCCTTTACCCAAGGAGACTCGTGGCGTATTTATTACCCCACCTTTTCTGTGCGAACTTTTAATAATTAACTTCAGTTTATAATTTGTTATGTTAATAATTATCTCATTGTTTTAAAAAATTAATAAATCGGCATGTGCGTTGCGCAAGACGCACATTGCCATAATTATTACAGTTGCTGTCTGACTTGGTCAATTGCGCAATGTTCGCGCACAGAAAACAGAGCTAATCGTTGCAGGATATCTTGCTGACATAGTGTTAAGAAAAGGAAGCGATAAAGGAATTATTGGCATACCAATAAAGATTTTATTGCTTCCTGTATCTAGTTTTAGAGATAGGGAGCTATTGTAATGGAACACGTGGGTATTAGCCCCGATAATTTGTAGTCACATGAATGTAATGCGCAGGAAGGGGATAGGAGTGGTGATATAATCTACAGCAGTATGTGCATCAGTTCATTCTACTCTTCAATCTGGTCGCGCAAGGTCAACTCTCTGGCCGAAGTCAATTGATATCCCACCCTCCTCCCCGTTACTTGACGCAATATTATTACATATGTAAGTTAGTTTAATTATTAGATTAATTTCTAAATGGTGGGCGTATTTATTACCCCACCTTTTCTTTGCCAACTTTTAATAATTAACTTCGGTTTATAATTTGTTATGTTAATAATTATCTCATTGTTTTAAAAAATTAATAAATCGGCATGTGCGTTGCGCAAGACGCACATTGCCATAATTATTCCAGTTGCTGTCTGACTTGGTCAATTGCGCAATGTTCGCGCACAGAAAACAGAGCTAATCGTTGCAGGATATATGGCTGACATAGTGTTAAGGAAAGGAAGCGATAAATACCTTTTTTATTCTCTCTTGAATATCTTCATCTACAGTTCTCACCTATGCAACACAAAAGCAATACTATTAGTCTTTGAAAACAAAACCTACACATGAGACTTCAAGTACTGGAAAGCAACAATTTAATAGTTTGTTGACTCACTTTACTTTGAAGACGTTTCAATTTTGCTTGCTTCCCTTTAAGCTTTTTGTTTTCAGCCACTAGTTTTTGTGTGAGCTCTTCTTGTTTCTTTTTCAGTTCAGTCGTATATTTACCGACTGGAAATCTTGTATAATGTTGACGTTTATTTGGCGGCATTTTCCAACACTTTAATACAACAACATGGAACACTTCCAAAGTAAAAGTCTGAAATGTCACATTAACTTTTTGGGGAAATTTTATGCGGTAAAGTGTAAAGTACCCGTATTTTGAATTGAAAATTACAGAGCAAATAAGACATATCGAACAATTTGGGCAAGAACAAAATTTTACACTGTAATCACAGTTTGCCAAAATATAGACATTTCCGAAGATTAATCGTCAGGCAATGAGCCTATTGAAGCCAAAATATTACACAATACATGTTCCAGAAAAGCATGTTTACCAGCATCAGAAAAAACAATGCATAAAACGTGTATTTTAACGCCAAAAATTGATAACTTTGGTATTAATCGAAAGCTTGAAGGGCGATCTTTAGGAATTTATTAAAATCCAACGTCTCCTAGCAACGAGACACACCGGAAGACAGCGCCAAAAACTATTTCCCAGCCTCATTACAGCCGATCTCTCAACTAAATATGGCGTCATGGAAATTTTTGTCACACTTCCTTGGCCGGAAACACCAACAAAAATTCCCAGCGTGTTTGTATGTTATTTTTTGTTGTTCTTATTGAATTGATCATGAATAATTTTTCTCGTAGGTTATGATAAGTTAAAGCCTTTCGGCTTTCCTATCATGGAGCAATCGATGGATTTAGTGTCAAAGTCTTGTGCTTGGAGGTCTGTAAATCAAATAACTCTCCAACTGAGCCTACCAATTTGTATTTGGATTGCATAGAAGAACATGGTGGATGTCCTATGATAACTCGTACAGATTACGGAACAGAAAATTGTAACATCGCCACAATTCAATGTTATTTTAGATCAGACGAAGAAGGTCACAAATACGGAACATCGACAAGAAATCAAAGAATCGAAAATTGGCGGTCGCATTTCCGCAAATCATGCGCACATTTTTGGATAAACTTTTTCAAAGATGATGGATCAATTGATCTCGAACATCCGATGCACAGGGAATGTTTATGGTTTTGTTTTAGCAGTATTATACAGGCATCTCTAAATAGAATGAAGGAATATTGGAATACACATTATATTAGACCATCACGTCATGACACTATTCCTGGGGTTCCTGACATTTTATTCTATTTACCTGAACGTTCAAATGGTGCAAATTGTCTAATTCCAGTAACCAACGAAAGAATCACTGAGATGAGAACGCAACACACAGAGAATATGGAGGAAGATACAGACGAGGAAAATCTTTACCAAGAATATTTCCAGTACATTATGGACAATGAAGAGGTAGAATATCCTGATAATGCAGATGAAGCAATTCTGTTGTTTTCATATTTAATAGAAAAAGCAGGAGAGGTGGACGGCTGAATGTTACATGATATGGATGGCATAATATACGAATGTGTTACATGACATTGGTATATGAATATGATACAGCATGTGTGATATGAGTATGATATCATTTACATTACACATACTCAAATGAACGAGTGCTTATAAAGTTGGCTCCTTACACTTTTTAATAAATGCTTCATTTTCTGAGTTGGACATCAATTTCTGGAAAATGATTTCTTGTTGAAAAACAAAAAGTATTAATTATTAAGGAATTTTGAGTTCTTAATAAATGTATTAAGTGTAAAGAAAAAGTATTAATATTATTAAGGAATTTTGAGTTCTTAAAAATTACTCCTAACTGTAACAGCCGTTGCTATGGCAACAATGACGTTTCAATATTTATATATTATGGGGGATATTTTTGGTTTAAAGTAATTTGACTCGAAAACAAGGTCAGTCGGTGACCCGCACTTTTATTTTATAACATAATTTCTTTTAGTATTTTGAATCATTTTCGTGATTTTAAAAAAGTCTGTCATGCCAAAAAAATTTTCAAGATAGGAAAATGTAATACTTATCATTTATTGACCCGGAGCGAGGGGGATTCGGCGGAATATTACTGAGGGTAATATTCCGCCTAATCCCCCGAGCGGAGAGTCTATAAATGATATATTATACCGAAAGTTAAAGAAACCACCAAGGTCAGAATAAACTTTAAAACTTGAAGCGAATATAATTTTTAATTTATATCTATGAGTTTTTGACGTTTTCTCTTTTACTGTAGTTCTGTACGAAATTACAAACAACAGCTCGTGAACGCCATATTGTTTCAGAGCGTGGTGTCACTATAATATCCCACGGTGGATCTGCCGTGGGATATTTATAGTATCTCACGCTGGATTGCAAAATCATGAATTTGAGGGAAATACCGTAAAAAATCACATTGTCACGTGGTACAAATGATGTTTTTTCATTGGACAATTTAAATTTGAGGTATAATATTAATATGTAATACATGACAGATTTTTTGTAAATCAACAATTATTCAAAATACTAAACTAAATCATTTTATGAAATAAAAATGGGGGTCAGTGGGTCACCGACCTTATTGTCAAGTTAAATAACTTTAAACCCAAAATATCGGCCACATTGAGGCGGCATTGTTGCCATAGAAACGGCACTTGCGATTCCTTTTTTTTCAAAAAGATCCATCTCTGTATTTATTATTTTTTCTAAATTTAGACTTTCTTTGTCTTTTAACAAAAGTCAGGCAGATAGAGGCTCAAAATTATGGAAAATTTACCCTATTGTGGGACAATTCCATTTTGCCTTCATATTGTGCCCTGAATGCTAGTAAGTACGTGTCTGTATGTTGGCCACGTTAAAATTTCTTGTGGGCTCCTGCCGACACGTTTTTCTTCGAATTTTGTATTAAACTCTATTACAGTTAAAAAATGTGAAATTTCTGATACATTTCTAATACAAATTACTTGCATCAATAAAATCTAACAAAAAACTACATATAAGACATTTAAATGGTTAGTTATTTTCAAGCGGTTTTCGAGTTATTGCCGTTTTAAATGTGAAAAATAAGCCAAAATCTCGCAAAACGTCTGGGTACTAGTCTGAAAACACGCATTCAACAGTTCATAACTAAAGAAGAACTTAAAAATCCCGGGTAACCGTTTAAATGTCTTATATGTACTTTTTGAAAGCTTACATTTGATGTAAGTAATTTATGTTAGAAATGTATTTGAAATTTCACATTCTTTAACTGTAATAGAGTTTAATACAAAATTCGAAGAAAAACGTGTTGGCAGGAGCACAAGAAATTTTAACGCAGCCAACATACAGAAACGTACTTACGCTACTTCAGGGCACAATATGAAGGCAGAATGGAATTGTCTCACGATATGGTAAGTTTTTTCCTTCTATCTGCCCGACTATAAGAATTGTCGAAAAATTAAAGTATCTAAATCAGAGATCTTCCATTTTCTAGAAAACTGTAGGGAGCCACCTTAAAGCAGATATCCAGAAATGTTAAAATTTATGGAAATTAAAATATAATATATATAAACCTAGAAATAAATATACTCAGTTTAGTAACTGGTTCTATTACGTTTTACAACTTTTTGTTGCGAGCATATGAAACTATTAAAACCGCGAGTAACTAAACCAAAGACCGTCGAGAAGGGCTGGGACCGAGGATGACCAGCCGAGAAAATTCACAGGACCCGGGGCAAAACTTTTTGGGGACCCTTATGACGTCATTACTTTCAAAGACAGAAAAATACTAAACGATTGATTATTGAAGGAGGGTCCGTGGACATTCACCCCTGAGGGAATGTTTAAATTTAGGGTCTCTGAAATGCCATTTCCTGATGAAGATGGCCCTCCAATTTCTCCCCTATGAACTCGGCATTGGGAGGATGTTCGTAGCTGTAGCAGTAGAAGGCTGAAGAAGATTATTTCAATAATATGAAGTTTATTAAAAAACTCATGTAGAAAATAACATAAATCTTATATCAATAAAGTTAAAAAAGTATCGGAAAAAAATTAACAAATGGATGTTGAAAAGTTTTTCGAACGTATGTTTTTTACAAATTATAATTAGATTGTAAATATGATACGGCAAAACCAATATAAAATCAGGGCAACTATAAAGCACCCAAAATACAATTAGCCATTTCCCAATCGAGCAGAGGACTGGGTTTAGTCGCTTGTTTGGACACCCGATTAGCACCTCATTACACGTATACTAAAAGGTTTTCATTATCTCTCATTACACGTATATAAGTGTCAATAAAAGATCTGCTGTACCTGCTGGCGCGCCTGCCTCCAGAGCAGCCTGGAATCGACCGCCAAATATCATGAATTTTACGCGCCAAATATCATGAATTTTACGCGCCAAATTGCCAAATTCTCGCCGCCATATTTGTATCATATATATTTCATATTTGTATTAATCAATTGTATCAATGGTGTATTCTTGGTCTTGTATTTGGTTGAAAAAGGTTATTTACTGTATTAATTATTTTTATTTGGACTTGGTGATGTAGCGATTGACTTTTGGAAATTTCAAATACGATTAATACATGTGAGTGATTTGAATAACTGAATATTTAATTAAAATTATGACAGTGCTGTATTAAATTAATATAGGACGATGTCCGAATTTATACACAGTATTCGCATTAACACAATTGCACTTCTTGATTGAGAAATAGCTGCTATGCCTATGTGTCTGCTGTAATAAGGAAAACAATTTTTAGATTTGTAATTTTGTATACAAAAAAAGTTGTTCAGTAAAGAAATTTAATATATTTGTGTTTTGTGGGCATGTGACTGTACACTAGTACAGTATATATTTATACAGTCAATACTGAATTAAAACTGTGTCTTTGAATTGAAGGAGGTATACAGCCACATTTATCGAACTGTGTATACCGCAACGTTTCAACATGAATGCAGAACTACAGTAGCTAGGGTCACAGACAGAGCAATTACAGGGAAATATATGAATCGTTTAGCATCCTTCATGGTGTAATTGTTAGTTATTAATAGCAAGCAATATGTGTAGGCAGGATCATAGTCAACTGAATAATAGTACTTTTAATATATATTATAAACACCTTCTATTATTCTTGTTATCTTGCCTAAAGACAAATGTGTCAGCCACCAAAGCCGCGTTCACACCAGCGCCTCAAGGCCTGGCCTTGACCGCCTGGGCCAATTGTGACGCATTCACACTGGCTTGACGCCCAACTCCAGGCCAAAGCAATCAGGCGTCAATATAAACGTCCTTGTGTTCCACTAAAGTATTTAATTTCGCGCTTTGAATGTTTTTCCCTCCAATTGTATGACAATCATCTGACCAGTTTTTATGGTGGGCAGATATTGCGATGGTAACGGGCCTCACCCAGGCCAGGCCCAGGAAAAACCCGTTCACACCAGTGATGATCAAGGCCAGGCCACCTACATTTGCTGGCCTGGACTTCTTGACTTAGGCCAGGCTCAGGCCAGGTAAAACCTGTTCACACCTAGACCCAGGCCAGGTCCAGGCCAGGCCTGGGCCGCTAGTGTGAATGTGGCTCAAGTGACTTTAATTGCTCAATAAGATGCATCAGAGAAATTAATTAATAGGCCCGGATATATAAAACCACAGTTATTCTCAGAATATTTTTATTGTAAAAATCATGAATTATTTCATTCATAGGGCACGAAGGAAGAAGTTGAAAACAACATTTAAAGTTGTCGAATATAGAGGAGGCCGTGTTTGCAAACGCTCCAAAGTTACTGTTCCAGTTCAGATAACATTACCTGGCCAATCATCTCTCTTTGGGCAAGCAAGTACCAGTGATCATGATATTCTTAGCAATGCAGGTGTAGATGAACTTGATCAATATGATGAATCAATCATTGACTCTACCTGTAATGACAATGAAGATGAAGATCATGCGAATGAAATTCCCCAGTATGGGAAACAATCTGTAATAAAAACTCGTGTTAGACAATACCGTAAAAGGAAGGAAGCAGAAATTAAAGCTTGGGCCAACATACGTAGAAGTATGCTGGATAAGTATATTCAAAGTATGGCATTAACCGAAGATACCAGTTGCTGCTTTTGCTCAAATAAAGCTGAATGCAGATGCCTGCAATGTGGAATCTTACAACTAACATGTGTTGAATGTTGCACTAAGAAGCATAAGCAGTCTTTACATGTGCCAGAGATATGGAAGGTACAGTACTGGAATATAGCTGCATGTAAAACTATAGTGACTTTGTATACTCATGATTCTATACAACATCTTTCTGCTTGCGCTGGCTATGGAAATTATATAATACACACTCTAGAACATTTTCATCTTAATATATATATATATATATATATATATATATATATATATATATATATATATATATATATATATATATATATATATATATATATATACTATATATAGAAACATATGAGTAGAGTAAGTAGAGTGCTCGATATACTGAAGTATAGAGCTAATATAAAGATAAAATTAAATACACCTGGTTTATTTCGTAAGATTTTATTCACTAAAAACTTTGTTTTGTATGACAAGCAATGCTTGCGACAGTCATTAGGTGAATTTAAATGATAATTCACCTAATGAGTGTGGCAAGCATTGCTTGTCATACGAAACAAGTTTGTAGTGAATAAAATCTTATGAATTAGTAAACCAGGTTTATTTTATTTTGTAGTTTTTGTTTACACAAAATCTTGTCCATGTATAAGCCCCCTCCCCCTGTGTATAAGCTCCCTTCGCCCCTTGTGTATAAGCCCCCTTCACCCCCTGTGTATAAGACCATAAAAAACACTTAGGAACTTGTATGAGCACAGGGTTTATATTTGGACATTTACAGTACTTTCCAACCTACAGAAAATTCAGTTATCTGCTAGCATCATATAACTGAGTTATATGCAAATCAGCCTGCAGTGATTAACAAGCAGTATCTACACGAACAAATGTATAATAAAACAACTATTGAGTTGGGTTTTTGCGATATGCAAAATTATCAAGGTCTCAGTAAGCATTATCAGCCTCGCTTTTGGCTCGGCTGATAACGCTTACTTCGACCTTGAAAATTCCGCATATCACTAAAATCTCATCCAATAATTGTTAATTATTTAGGTAAATTAGCTTATATATATACATGACAATTGTTGTTTGATCTGTTCTATTGTAGGTTGATAGTTTTGAGGTTCTTGTTTTTCAAAGACATGTATGGAAAAAAGCTGATGACAGTGATTTATATGGATACGTAGAGGAAATTACTGTAGTTAATTCATCTGTTATGAAGGTCAACCAATTGTGCAATCATTTAATTCTATATAATATGTAGGATTAAAAAAATTGCTGTCTGATTACATTTTGTTATGTGGCAACGATGCAAGAAAAACATGAAAATCAAAACATTTATTATATCATATTACTTAATTACATACTGTACCTACTACTATTGAATGTGTTTTGTAGGAGTTCAGATCAAAACATCTGTCATGTTTTATTATGATGAAGAACCATGCCTAACTTTAATTGGTTATGGAATGTGGCCAGCTACACCCAAAGAACCAAAGGTTGCGTTTGAGATCCACGTAATGGAAGTCGCCGAAGTTCTTTTTCTTGAATGCCGTTTGTCAACAAAGCAATTTTGCAATGCCCTAAAGTGGTTATGTCCAGATCTATTTCAAGCTTATGTTAGTAGCTATAACCAACATTACCAAAGTGGTTACCAAAAATGTGAAATTCTTATTAGTATGTTTGCATGTATGGGTTTGTTTCATTATGGCAATGGAATGAAATATAGTACTTTATTAAACTGAAAGTTTGGTCTGATTGGATCTTCAGATTGATCCTATAATCTGGTCACCTAATTAATTGTAATGCCTACCCCACCTTGTCAACTTTACCTAAAGTTGGGAGGAAATCCAATTGCTCAGAGGAACCTACAACTTCCAGTGGAGCATTTAGAAAGTTACGGTACTCTTTTCCACACATAAAAGTTGAAAGTTCCTGTTGATGACAATCGATCCCCACAACTTGCGGGGAATATCAAATTGAATCGAATTTACAAGGATTTACAAATGCATTGCAATTAATGTTGTGGTTCAATCAGCCATTACTAGGTAAAAAACATTTACCGACTACTTGTTGGCGAATGCTTCACAGAATTTAGATTTATGCGACATCAGTTCCGGACACTAAAACAGTTCAACTGGCAACTTGTAGATGATGGGACTATATGTCCAGCATGTCCCAAAGTGAGTCAATTTTGATTAATTTTTGTAATATAGTGCTGTATGTATGAGAATGGTAATTAGAATTTTCTTATTTGAGATCTGTTGTTGTTAGTATACAGTACTAACATTAACACATACAACCCAAGTAAACAGTACGAAGCTCACAGTTCATGAACGTGGCTAAAGTGGTGTAAATAAGTAATGCGTGAAAAACGTTATATTATTCCCTCCAAGGAAGAAGGAACTGTACACATTTCTGTGGATGCACTATTTGGGCGTGTGAGGAAAAGAAGTTCAAGTTCTGCTCCGCCGAAACATGGTGAAACGTTTTTTATCTCACAAGACAACGTTGATGCCTTTATCAGTTCGTATGGGAAAAAGAAAGATGCGAAACTGGAAGTCCTGAGTAAATTACAAATTAATCTAAAGATTGTAATTGCCCATGCCATTGACTTTCTAATACAGGGCTACCTCCTCCGCAGGCCTTTCGATGCGGGCGGGAATAATTTGCGGGCGTGAAATTTGAGATCAGGGAAGAACGGAAGGCGACGAAAGGCCTGCTGAATAATAGTCGGTTTCTGGGCAGAAGTGACGTTTCCCGGGTATCGGTTTTCAATCCTTAAAAATCTTCGTGAAATATGAACCATCCTATCCCAAAACTATTGTCCCGTGTATGGTAGAGTATTTGTGATACTTCAGGGCAGTCATGGCCGAAGCAGCGACGAACAGAGGGGAAAATCGAGGATTTCGACGATGTTGACGTTCTTAATAATATGTCATTCTGTGAAATGGAAATATGTATGTATTTTACCTGATTAAATATCATGTAGATCATTGACGCGTTTTATAATGCAATTCATAACAAGCAGTCGTAACACAATGATATCAATCGCTATGAACAGGACACGCTTGAATAACGCCATATGTTGACAATTAATATGTTGTGCTCATCGTTCGACGGCAGCGATGTGGATACTCTCAATATATCGTTTTCTGAAATGGACTTGGTATGTAGATTTTTGTGGTAATGGAGATTCTACATGCAGACATTGTGTTATTTAATAATACTCAAAAGACAAAGAACAAGCGAACAATGAGACGCTATATTACTTCTATTTACATTGTAAATGTATATTTTTAATATGCAAATATAATTTCACCATATTTATCTTTCAAATTGTGCTTTTAATGTTTCATGCAGACTGATATTTGAATCTTATCTAAAGTATTTGGAATGGCTTATCATAGGCTTAGCCGCAAAATATGTAGAAAGCGGATATAATATCATTGATGTTGTATTTGCATTGGCATAATTTGTATAAACACTTTATATTAGACAGTCTCCATCGTCATAGAAAAGCGGCGGCTAGTTATAAGTACTTTTTAGTCTGCCAAGACCACTGGATGCTATTTCTAAATATTATTTAGATCTATTAGATCAGTGCTGGTATGTATATTGTATATTAAGTCATAATAGTAAAGTCAAAATGAAAATTTCGATTTATAGCATACGCCATCTTGAAAACATTACTCGGCAGGCGCTCTCGCCTGCAACCCGCATTTTCCGAACCTGCCCGAAATGCTCCCTAAGCGCCTGCGGAGGAGGTAGTACAATTGTCATGTGAAGTAATTTCTTTTTCAAGATTTGCTTGTTTATAATAACAATCCTTTTAAATTTTGATTTTTCTACCATTGCGTCCAAGTTTCGTTGCTGAACCCAATTACTGCTAACAAGGATGTTTAAAGATGCACATGGCAGTGACGGCACTCATTGTGCTTACCAAAGGGACATGCAGACCAACATTTTAATACCAAAGTTTTTTGTATACAATCAATTGTCGGATACCAAATTACATAATTTGGTAAAATAAAATTATCTGTAACTGAATTCTTGTCCTATTGCTCCAAGTGGTTCATTCGGTCCAAAATAAGCTCTCAAACTTGGTATGCCTTGTCATGTTATCACAGTACCTAAAATGCAGCACAAAAACAACCTCATTAATATTAATACCAAGAAGTATAATTAAAATAATAAAATTACAACAACGAAGCAAGAAATGTATTGATATCTGTACTAAAATTGGGTAGAGGAAATTGATCTCTTAATATCATGTTGTAAGTTTGCAATAATTACTAATTACATTGTCATGATTTGCACCCTTTAGTGCATTGGAACGTTCAACAATTCGACTTTTTGTATAGTAGAATCAATCGTTCAATGATAGAAAAATAATTATATCCACAGTTCACCATACACAGCTACTAAGCGCATCAGAACAAACGTTTGAGTATCTGTTTATAAGATGACAAGAATCCAAATACGATTCGAAGGTGACTGTTGACGTTGGTATTGAATGCATGAACGTGTTCACGTTTTATCGTTGTCTTTATCACGCATTTCTTTACCCCAGTGAATAACGTTTCGTTTAATGTTTTCTGTGAACCATTGTTAGTTACTTTTAACCAAATGTTTTAACATTTCTCAAAAGAATATACACACAAAAGTAATTAACATTTTGAGTCCCGTTCGCACTCCTACCGTTTGAACACTATCCAAAAAAGTATTTATAACAAAACAAAAGGTTATTCCAGGTGCATAATCGAAAAAGACGTGAAAGTTAATATTATGCTGTTTTGAACCTTGCGTTCCATTGAATTTCAAGGCCTCTCCAGCAGAAAATTAATTTGTCACGGCCTGAAAATTGCATTATTGGAATCTACGGTCCATAGGCTTTCTGTCAATGCCTTACTCGTGCATCAAAAGACAGTCCATGAAGATTCAAACCCTGCAGGTTATTCCAGGTGCATAATCGAAAACGACGTGAAAGTTAATATTATGCTGTTTCGCACCTTACTTTCTATTGAATTTCAAGGCCTCTGCAGCTGAATCTGAAACCTGTCACGGTCTGAAAATTCTATTGTTGCAATCTATGGCCATAGGCTTTCTGTCAATGCCTAACTCGTGCATCAAAAGACAGTCCATGAAGATTCAAACCCTGCAGGTTATTCCAGGTGCATAATCGAAAACGACGTGAAAGTTAATATTATGCTGTTTCGCACCTTACTTTCTATTGAATTTCAAGGCCTCTGCAGCTGAATCTGAAACCTGTCACGGTCTGAAAATTCTATTGTTGCAATCTATGGCCATAGGCTTTCTGTCAATGCCTAACTCGTGCATCAAAAGACAGTCCATGAAGATTCAAACCCTGCAGGTTATTCCAGGTGCATAATCGAAAACGACGTGAAAGTTAATATTATGCTGTTTCGCACCTTACTTTCTATTGAATTTCAAGGCCTCTGCAGCTGAATCTGAAACCTGTCACGGTCTGAAAATTCTATTGTTGCAATCTATGGCCATAGGCTTTCTGTCAATGCCTAACTCGTGCATCAAAAGACAGTCCATGAAGATTCAAACCCTGCAGGTTATTCCAGGTGCATAATCGAAAACGACGTGAAAGTTAATATTATGCTGTTTCGCACCTTACTTTCTATTGAATTTCAAGGCCTCTGCAGCTGAATCTGAAACCTGTCACGGTCTGAAAATTCTATTGTTGCAATCTATGGCCATAGGCTTTCTGTCAATGCCTAACTCGTGCATCAAAAGACAGTCCATGAAGATTCAAACCCTGCAGGTTATTCCAGGTGCATAATCGAAAACGACGTGAAAGTTAATATTATGCTGTTTCGAACCTTACGTTCTATTGAATTTCAAGGCCTCTGCAGCTGAATCTGAAACCTGTCACGGTCTGAAAATTCTATTGTTGCAATCTATGGGCATAAGCTTTCTGTCAATGCCTAACTCGTGCATCAAAAGACAGTCCATGAAGATACAAATAATCGAAAAAGACGGAAAACTTCAGCCTAGACCTAGGCCATCTACTTTTATTTATATTTTTTTAATATTCAGCGCTTTTCACATGAAAAGACTGGGACTAGTGATTTGGGAGCGGGGCGGAGGAAGGACACAAGCCTGACGCAAGCGAAAAAATAGAAGGCCTAGGGGATTTCCCAACAACAAGGCCAAAACTGCCCTGAAACTGCCCTGATTGCGAAATGCCCAATTGTTGCGTTCTCAGACAGAATTATTTGCAACTTAACAGCGAATATAAACCGATACAGGTAAAATAAACTCATTTATAGTATAAACTTACTATTTTTATTTGTATAAACGTCTACACAATCGGAGTTTTTATCATAAAGTTTGAAGCAACACTATTTATATATGTTGACAAGGTGTAGCGAAACGGCACAAAATAATAATTCTTTTATTCGCTAGACAATCTACTTTTTGCTTTGAATAACTATATTTGCAAATTGGGTATGAGGATTTTGAAATTGTTCAAATATTACCGATATACCATTTGTAAACAATGTACGTTTTTATATACAGTACTGTACGGGCTAATAATATATGTATCCGTTTTATTTTGTATATTTTACAAACACAAGACTGCTTCTTGCCAAAATTGAGAAAATATATATTAATGTAGTTGTGTATAAGACAAAATTTCATGAAAGATTCTACTTTTGGTATATATTTTGACTCATTTTGTGCTTTCGCTACACCTTGTCAACATATAATT